GAGGGGAAGTGGTCTGGGGTGAACAGAAGTCTGACAAGCTGTCTCTGGTTACTTCACTTCCCAGATTATTTAAAATCTTGTTTGGAAAGATATTTACTGCTATATTTTCAAGTACTAGAAAGATTTGCCTATTGTTTCGGTGAAGGAGAGTTAATGAACTGTGCATTCGCAAAAGTGAATAATATTATTTTTGTCTTTCAAGTAACCAGAAAAATTTTGCTGTTTTGTTCTGGCAGTAGACACTTCAGAAAACATAAAATACAGTAGCCAAAATATATATTCCAGAAAATTTTCGTGTTCATTTGAAATTTGTTTAAAATAAAATGTCTTTCTGGTTTACTTGGCAGTATTTGGTTCTCATCAAGTTTATCATGACTCAAGCTCTTACATTGGACCTCAAAAATTTAGGTTCTCTTCACCCCACTTGGGACTTAAAGTGGCACTAGAAGTATATAAATTTATCTAACTGAAGAGCAGTATTGGAGCAGACAATTGATTCAAAATCAGAAATCTTTCCCATTTAGTTACAAAAATAGATGTCCTTACTCCTAATGAATAGAAATTGGCATTTACCAAGATGAATGATTAATCACAAAACTGTCACATAAACTTCCAGTTCAGAAGTTAAATCCATGCAGTTAATTCCTAACCCATTTGGGGTTTCTCTTTTCTGCTGAAGATGAAAATTTATACTACAGGCTTTATATTATGGATCCCTTTGTGGTAATCCTGAAATTGCTTGCCAGAAATCAGCTGCATGATTCCAACTGTTTCAGATACAAATGGCAACAATTAAAACACTTCAAATCTGTTTCTGGCAGAAAAACCTACACACAAAAAGTATATAGAGTTGGGAAAGTAGAGACTTAACCAAAGGAGAGCTGTAAAAAATACCTAAAAGTAATTTTGGCTTTGGAGAGAGTATATGTATATATACAGTGATTTATTAGTACATTTCAACTTTCAAACTCTTTAGGGTAAATGACTTCCTATTTTACAAATTGGATTTATATTTTCCCATTGGTTTAAAAAATAAATATTCAGAATGTGCTTAGAGTTAAAGACATTCATTACTTAGTTACTTGGCTGCAGATTTTATTCTCAGCGATTGTATTAAAAGAGTATATTAGGGGGAGGGTGCAGCAGCCCGCACCTGTAATCCCAAGGGCTTTGGGTGAGGCGCCCTTTGGGGCAGGCCAAAGGGTGAGGATCACTGGAGGCCAGGAGTTGGAGGTTACAGTGAGCTGTGTGATCACACCACTGCACTCCAGCCCAGGCAACAAAGCAAGATCATGTCTCTAAAAAAACATATATTGAAATTTTCAGACTTAATTATGAGAAAATCAGAGATGTAAAATAACTGGTTTCTGAGGATGTTTGTAGAATTGTTTTAACCAGCAAGCATCATCTGCGCAATTCTGGAATGCAAACACAAAATTATAATATTAGTTTCACATTAGGATATCTTTATTCTCCAGAGATACTTAGCTAGGGCACAGAGGTATGAAAGTGGCCGCATGAAGTTTCCTTTGACCTTTACGTTCTAGAATGGATGAGAAGAAGAGTCTTGCTGCAAAGGACTGGGAACATAACCATATGTTCACAGGGCTGGCTCCTCTGTCTTCCTTGGAAAGAATCCTATTTGCTTACCCAGCCTGAGCACAGCACCCCTTTTCCAGCAGCTAAAAGTTTGACAGCCTGTATCACAACAAGGACTCTTATTTTTCAAGCCATGTTTAAGACAAAAGAAGTTTAATTAGCGTGGGGAGATGGGATGGAAACTTCAAAGAAGGGACCAAAAAAGCCCATTTTCATTTCACAAGGAAAAGAGTACATGGGAAACACTCTTATAGGTCAGTGAAGAAGTTAGTTATCCAATATATCCAATAATGCATTATCTTGACTAACTGAAACCTAATGTGCTCAGTAAGAAATTCACATAATGTTTGTGAGCGAAAATTTTCTCTCATAATTAAGGTACTATATAGAATTATCAAAGAGTTAATGCACCTTCATAAGTAGCTATTAGCTTAAAAGGACTAAAGTGGCTCTTAAAACACCTACTTTATTCCTTAAGGAGTAACTTAGGCACTGGCAAGAACAGAGTCCAATATTTTTTGGAACATTATTAAGACAAGACTCCAGGAAAACAGGGGTAACTGAAAGCCAAGTCAATATAGATTGTAAACTACTGTGGCAAGTGGTAATGGCATCTCACAGTTACTATAATCTTTTCTGTAATGAAAAGATTACAGTTGACAAAAAGAATTCTGGTTTTCCATTAAACAATCCGACAAGATGTTCTACTTTGGGGCTCACCATACTCATCTCTACCACAAGAACTATTGTTTGCATTCAAGCCAATTGACAACAATGTTTCTCAATCTATTACTACTCCTATCGCATCCATTCACCGGTCTCTGGAGTCCTATTATAGGAGCGATGTTAGTAAACACTCACCACTGAATAGGCAGCAGGTGGTTCAACATAGCACACATTAGCAGTCCCCTAGCATGAAGGAATGAACCACCACGTGCCTCCGCTCTACCAATTTCCTGTCTCTGTGGGTCCCTGTAGAGACTCATGAAACTTTTAGCTATTGTAAATTTTACTTCCAACTTCTTATCCTTTAGTAACTAACGTATTATTAGGAATTTTATGGCTCATGTTCTCAGCTTTTCCTTTTTTTGTAGATTTTTTTCTTGTCTGTTTTTTAGCTGTTTTTATAGGAATGCTTTAATGGAATATTATAAATGTGTAGTAACATTTTAAGTCAAATACTTTTCAATATTTGATGTTTTAAAACAAGAGTTGGGGGAGGAAGAGATCATGCTCCTTCATCCTTAATTACTGGTCCTTTACACGAATGAAGTATGTCCTGATTGTTTTATTGCCCACCTCTTCAATCAACCATTCTTAAATCTGGTTCACAGTCAATGTATTTAGGCTTCTAAGACTTCTAAAAATCTGTAAACATAAGTAGTATAAATCTATGTTAGCTTGCATGCTCATTTCATCTATGAATTGTTTCTGTGAACTTCCTTCATCCAAACACATTCACTCAGTTACTTCAACATCTGATTGGGGTGGGGAGGACATGGGTTGGTGGAGAGACATTATATCATACACAGTTGTAACTGATTAATTGTATGGCTTTCAAACATTAAAACAGTAAGCAGAAAATAATAAGGAAAACAATCATAATCCTACATATTTCTGAAACCTGTGTATTTGCTGATTGCTTATAGTAATTAACAGCTTACATCTCTGAGATAAGACTTGCTTCTTTGTAAAGAGGCAAGTAAAATTAACTAGTGAGTTTGCTGATTAAAATTACTGTGATTTTTTTCTGTGTCCCAAATGATTCACATGGACGTACATTCAGAAGCTAAGATTAAAGAGTGAGGTGGTAGGTGGGGTGGCCAGGTTGGTGGACGGGGCTGCTGGGTGACAGAGTGGGTCTGCACACAGCCTTGTCCGGGGTAAGCTTCCTCTCCCCGAACTGGAAGCGTGTGTGCGGCCTAAAGGGCTCCAGAAAGCTCGGCACTAGTATATTCGAAGAGGATGATCAGCGTCAATGTTAAGAGCAGCAGCATTCTTAAAATCTTTAAAGCCTTTATGTTTAACCTTTATGCCATGCCATATCCCATATCTTTATCAATCCCTCTACATGCAAAAAATGAAACAAAACATAAAAATTTGAGTCACCCCAAACAGGAAGATGGAAATATATTTCTAATAAGGCATATGTGTAACTTCTGGCAAAAAAAAAAAACCTCAGATATTGGCTTTTAAATTTTTATTATTTTTACTTAATATTATTTTTACTATTAAAAATATTAAGAAATAGCCAGGCGTGGTGGCTCACGCCTGTAATCCTAGCTCTCTGGGAGGCCGAGACGGGCGGATTGCTCAAGGTCAGGAGTTCGAAACCAGCCTGAGCAAGAGCGAGACCTCGTCTCTACTATAAATAGAAAGAAATTAATTGGCCAACTAATATATATAGAAAAAATTAGCCGGGCATGGTGGCGCATGCCTGTAGTCCCAGCTACTCGGGAGGCTGAGGCAGGAGGATCGCTTGAGCCCAGGAGTTTGAGGTTGCTGTGAGCTAGGCTGACGCCATGGCACTCACTCTAGCCTGGGCAACAAGTGAGACTCTGTCTCAAAAAAAAAAAAAGAAATAAAAGGGCTTTTATTAGAAGCAGTGTAGCATCACAGAGTGACAGACTACAGTATCAGCAGACAGAAAACATGGGTTCCAATCTTACTGTTGCTACATGATTCTGGACAGATTACTTAGGGACTCTCTGAGCCTCAGTTTGTTCAGCCCTAAGGTGAGAATATTGATTTGAAAAATCTCTAAGCATCAAAAACTTCTTAAGAAAGTAGCAATGATAAAATATCTCTTCTTAATGCTATCACATTTTGATAATAGTAATAATAATGCTATATCTAACACTGTCGAGGTCAACATGAATGAGATCTTATAAGTAGCTGAAAAACTGTATCAGTGTAGAGAAACATATTTTTCTGCTAATAAAAGCAAGCTTAGGGGTTTAATTTTCCATTTTTGAGTTCACTTTCCCTTGTTAATAGGCAATTCTCATTGAAAATGCCAAGGAAATAGTATATTAATATCAATCTTCTCAGACAACTCCAGTATCCTAAAGAAATAAGCAACTAGGAGGTAAGGAGAGTTGGGCATGTGATTAAATATGGCCTCTGCCCAATGGATTAAGCCCATTCACATAATATCTACAAGGATTTTTTAAAAAAATGCATAGGTCTCTATAGCAGGGGTCCCTGACCTATGGTGAGTTGTGTAATTATTTCATTATATACTACAATGTAATAATAGTAGAAATAAAGTACATAATAAATATAATGCGCTTGAATCATCCCAAAACCATGCCCCTCCCTCTCCAGTCCATGGAAGAATTATCTTCCATGAAAACGGTCCCTGGTGCCAAAAAGGTTGGGGACCACCTTTTTATACTGCTGCTGTATAGGACTAATTTTTGCTCCTTTAACTGTATTCTAAGCTTTACTATGTCTAAGCTCTAAGACTCTGACCTGAGGAGTTGCTAATATTTCAAGAAAAGAAGTGTTCAAATATAGAAATCAATTTTTATGAAATCATCTTGTTCTTGTGGAGATTTTCTGATACTTTTTTTTTCTATCTTTTTGAAGAGAATTGTAAATGTCCACTTGAAGGAAGAAAGCTGCCATCATATACTGTTGATGTAGTAATGAGGTTTGAGTACCTGAAACGTTTAGAATATGAGTTTAGAAAAAGAAGAAAAAAAGATGTCACAGATAAGCAAATTTAGTGAAAAGATCTTAATCAAAATGCCCCAAGCTTAATAAGCCATTCCATGGTTGAACATCAGACTTGACAGAATCTGATTTATTTTCGAGGTAGGGAAAGAAGACAAGAAGGAAGCAGTTGCCAGATCAGATAGGAGATTTTGGAAATAAATCCTTTGACAGTCATTTTATAAAATCTTTGTTAGTCCATGATTTGTTATGGACAATTTTCCTTACGTGGTTGTGCATTTTATTCTGAAATATACTACAGTGGATTTCATGCACTCTATATGTGCACAATTTATCAAGCAATACATAGATATTTTTCATTTACATTCAGTATTGTATAGTTTTGTATTTTACTTTGACTGTGTTTTTGGAATTATGCTAGAACTTATATATATAATTTAAACTGTTTGGAAACAGAAAATCTTTAAATTGGGTTTTGTTGATAAAGGCTCCTTAAAAAGGTTAAAATTATATTCTCTATGTTTCACCATTCTATATACATATATATTCACTTACCTGTTTCAATGGCACTTGTGTCTTGTGATTTTAGAATAAAGTTTCATTTTACAAAAATATTTTGATAAACTATGCTGAATTTTTACAGTTAAAATTACTTTAAAAACTCTTAAGGATAAAATAAATTTCAGGTTAATTGTGAAAGTAAAAATGTAATCAGGACAGCATTATAAAGAATTATGAATATAATAGTATAAAATATCTAGAAAATTATTGTCATAATCTTAAGGATTAAGTTGACTCCCAATTCAGACTACCCAGATTTAATATCTGGTTCCATCATTTCCCACTGTGTGACTTTGGACAAGACATTTAATTTTTCTGTGCTTGTTTCCTCAAATATAAAATAGGAATTTTTTTTTTTTTAAACAGAGTCTCGCTCTGTTGCCCCAGCTAGAGTGCAGGGGCGTCATCATAGCCCACTGCAACCTCAAACTCCTGGGCTCAAGTGATCCTCCTGCCTCAGCTTCCCAAGTAGCTGGAACTACAGGTGCACACCACAACACTCCAGCTAATTTTTCTATTTTTTGTAGAGATGGAGTCTCACTCTTGCTCAGGCCGGTCAGTAATTCCTGAGCTCAAGCAATCCTTCCACCTTGGCCTCTCAGGGTGCTAGGATTACAGGCATGAGCCACCATGCCCGGCATGAGCCACCATCCCCGGCCTAAAATAGGAATTAATAATATTAATAGTACCTTGTACCAATCCATGCAGGATATTGTGACAATTACATGAAATGATTCATACAAATAACTTTGTATACTATCTAGCACGATAAATGTTCCTATAATTAATAATAATAACAAAGCCTAATTATTCTCTTTTATAATTAGAAAATGTTGAAAAAAAAAACAAATCCTAAAAGGAATCCAATAAAAGAAAAAAAAAACTAAAAATTAAAAAAAAAACCCAAATAAGCAGTCAAAATTCCCCTAAAAACAAAAAAAAATTTTTTTAACTGAAAAAAGGGTTTGCCAAAAAACCCAAGCCAAGAAGGAAAATGGCAAAACAAAAAACTAACAAATTTTTTAATAAAAAATTCATGAGATATATAGAACTGAATTTTAAAAAATATTTTCCAAGAATTACATTCTATGTTGATTTAGCTTTTTAGAAATATACCTAGATAAATTAAGTCTTTTATAGTAAAATCAATTATAGAAAAGCATTAAAGTCTCAAAAGATTTCTAACTTTTTATTGCTGCTATTTAACCACTTCGGGACCAGCATCGACTATAGTTGACAGCCACAGATGAACGCGCACAGCGACTTTAGCCGACAGCCGTGATATGACTTTTCTAATTTTTCATTTATCAAAATAAAATTGTGAACATTTAAAAATAACATAATGAAAACATATATGTATATGTTGCCTATTCTGATTTACATTACAAGTAAAGCTGCCTGTAAAGTGAAACAAGCTTTCAGTGCTTTCAAGCTTTCCTCATCACACAAGAGCAAAACGGATTTGTCGTCAATGCACAGCACACACTACCGTGCGGACAGTGGGTGCCGGCTCTGGGCAAGGTTTCACGGCCGGTGAGCACCGTACTGAAGTGGTTAAGAGAAAGAAGCAAAAAACTAGTGGATGTAAAAAGTCTATTAAAACAATTCATTTTGTAGGGCATATTCTGGATTCCGGTCAGATTTGGTCTAATCCCAACATATTATTCTACATCTAAATTCCGTGCATCAATCATCAAGGTGCCAGAAGATCCAAAAGTAGGAATGATTTTATATTTGTTACCCTATTGACTATACCGAGAAAGTGGACCCATGTACTTGAGAGAGATTTCCATCAAGTTGAAGTTTAAAAAGTGATTCTGCTTAACCCTCCAATGTCAGGAAATCCTGTTAGCTCGTCTGCCCGATGCTTGCATTACTGCCCCCTACTCTTCATCTGGGTCTCAGCCCAAATGTCATCTCCCCAGAGAGCTCTCCTGCACCCCCTTAGCTAAAGTCACTCCCCACCCATCTCCTGCTTTACTCTCTTCATAGCACTTACTGCTATGTTAAATTATCTTCCTTATTGATTCACTTCTGTGTCTATCTTTGGTCTTCCTCGCCCTGTGAGCTCCGTGAGAGCAGGACCTGCGTCTGCCTTGCTCACTACTGTGCCTCCAGCAGCATTTAGCTCAGAGCAAGGGCTGAAGGAATGAATACATGAGCAAAAACAATGACTGAATGTAAATCACATACACAGTATATTTGGTGATGTTTTGGATGAGGAACATAATTATTCTGTATTGTTGGGGATCTGGGGGTTGGAGGTGGATAAAACCCCACATGGTTAGATTCACATTGTTTCGCAGACATTTATCCCTATGCATGGAACAATGAAGTGGCAATGCCCTTACAGCAAAAAGGGCTCCTGCCCTGGGTCCCATGCTTTAAAGAGCTTGTATCACAAGCACGCTCACCAAAATCCACTCAACTACTCATGGTACACTCTGTCTCTCGGGATGTGGCACTTGGCACTGACCTGGCACCATCCTTAACCCTAAATATCTACTTGGATGGACACCACTGTCCAGGCCCCAGGAAAATGCCTCTCCACCTTGCTTGCCCCATGTGCTCAATAAAAGGGGGACTGTGGCTCATCTTAGTAAAGGTTTGTGGTTTGTCAGTGTCAGAGATAAACACCGCTTTGAAGCGTGGGGAGAATCTGAGTGAGAGAAACTCTCAGGTAAGTGAAATGAAAAATGAATTAACTTGACAAAAATTTGCTGTGAGGTGGTTATATATACAACAGATTCCCCTGAATACCAAAGAATCTCCCACTAGGGCTGAGTATCTTTCTTTCTTTCTTTTCTTTTCTTCATGTTCTAATTCCTGGCTCAGGAGATACTTGGGAATCAGGCAGCATTTGCAACAGTGGCCCCTAGTGGATATGTAACTTTGTACAATATAAAACAGTTCCTCATCCAAAACATCCCCAGCCCATCAACAGAACAGACATGTATAATCAAAATTAAATTCAGTTGTGTTTTATATTTTGTCAACTTTCTACTTTGTCATCAGGAATGTATTTTTTTAAGATGGGGGGATAGAAGTTATTTAACAATTTGTTCACTTGATCTATAATTTTAAATATTTATACATGGTATGTGGGCTTCCATTTGGATTCTTGCCTCAGGATCCACATCTTTTAGGGACAGGCCTGCAATGAAAAGAGTGTGTCTGTCCTGGATTCTTCCTCTAGTTACTACCACTGTGTAACAAATTGCCTCCAAACCCAGCACCTTACAGCAACCATTTCATTTTGATAACAATTTTGCCCACCAAGAATACAGAACTGCTTGGCCGGGTAGATCTCACTTGAGGCCTCGCATGCAATTGCAGACAGATATCAGCTAAGCTGCAGCCGTTCTCAAGGCTCAGCTGGGCTGGTTGTCCAAGGAGGTGCACTCAGACGGCTGCCGGTGAAGCTGGCTGTCGTCTGGGAGTTCAGCTGAGACTGCGGCCAGAGTCGTACCACACGCCCATTGAGCATGGCAGTCCCAGAGAAACCGGACTGCTTACAAGCAAGAGGAGGAGCACCAAGAAAACCAGGCAGAAACCTACAGCCTTCTATGACCAACTCTTAGAAGTCACTTAGTATTACTTTCTTTGTACTCAACTGTTGGCAGCAGTCATAAGCCCACCAAGACTTAAGGGGAACGGACACCAAGCCCACCTTTCTACCGGAGGAGTGTCAAGGAATTAGCAGCAACCCCCAGGGAGACTTTCCAGGAGTACAAACTTACCCACAGTAACACAGGCAGCCTCTCTGGCCACAGAGTTCCACCTCAAAACATAGGAAAAGGGTAAATTATTCCAATGTCTTGACACAGTTCTTTACCTCCAATCCTGGATCTAAAGCAAAGTGGATCAGGGACTGTTTCTAATTCTAAAGCCTCGAGAGGTGAAATTTGCAGGAGAATCTGCTGTAAATATCCAATCTGGGGCCAGACTATCCCTGGACTACAGGACAACAAAACCAGATGTCAAATGTCTTTTTAAATGAAGCTGAGATTAGGACTGCTCAGGAGAAGGTCAAATGTGGGTTATTGTCCAGGTGCATTAATCCAGAGGAACCTAAAACTCTAGACCACTAAATTCATTTGATTCGCAAAGGACTCTCTCTCCTAATCTAATCTGGCCACAAGTAGGTGGTTATAGGTCAGTTTCCCTGGGGAACAATTAGGGAGTGTTTTCCCTAACAATACCTGCAAGAGAAGTTGTATTAGTTTCCTATCTTGCTGCAACAAATTACCACAAATTTAGTAGCTTAACACAGCACAATTTATCATCTTGCAATTTTAGACATCAGAAGTAAAAAATGTATGTGTAGGGCTTCATTCCTTCTGGGTGCTCTTGGGAAGAATCTGTCTTCTTGCCTTTTTCATCTTCTTTTTTTTTTTTTTTTTTAGAGACAGAGTCTCACTCCATTGCCCAGGCTAGAGTGCTGTGGCGTCAGCCTAGCTCACAGCAACCTCAAACTCCTAGGCTCAGGTGATCCTTCTGCCTCAGCCTCCCAAGTAGCTGGAACTACAGACATGCGCCACCATGCCCGGCTAATATTTTCTATATATTTTTAGTCGTCCAGCTAATTTCTTTCTATTTTTTAGTAGAGACAGGGTCTCACTCCTGCTCAGGCTGGTCTCGAACTCCTGAGCTCAAGAAATCCTCCCACCTTGGCTTCCCAGAGTGCTAGAATTACAGGCGTGAGCCACTGCACCTGGCCACCTTTTTCATCTTCTAGGGGCACCTACGTTTCTTGGCTCCTGGCTTCTTCCTCTATCTTCAAAACCAGCAGCCCAGCCTCCACTCTCCTCTCTGACTTCCGGCTTCCCTCTTATAAGGCCCCCCCCCCAAGTGATTACATTTGGGGCACCAGGCTAATCTCTCCAGCTCCAGGTCTTTATCTTAATCACATCTGCAAAGTTTCTTTGGCCAGGTGAGGTAACATATTCACAGGTTTTGGAGAGTAGGATAAGGCCATCTTCCAAGGCCATTATTCTGTCCCCCACAGAAGGGGAGGGTGGAAGGAGAAGCTGCACCATGATACAGCTGCGACAGAGACTTCAGCAAATCCCACAAGCATCTGCACCTGGGATGTGCTTCAGAGATGTCCCAGGTGAAGGTGAGGGGCCAGGCTTTAGACCCACCAAATTAACCAGGACCCCCAAAACCCAGAGTAGCAGGACCTGAATCACACATTCTCCACGTGGGTCACTGGAAGTCCTGCTGAGTGAGTCTATTCCCAGCCTCCTATGTTTTCTTTATTAGGGACACAGGATAGAGACAGATATAATGTCCCCAGGGAGGGGACAAAAACTAAAGCCTGGAAGTTCCCCTCTGCAAAGGGCAGTTCCTGGGGTGGCACCCAACTGTAACACAAGTGAGCACTCTCGGCTGCTGGGGGATGAATGCTTGAGTGTAAGGAGGGTATTTGGGTGGCGGACCACAAAATCCACCAAGCCCACTCCTGGCACAGCTCAGATCCACTTGTTCTGTACAGTAAGTGATGCCATGTTGGAATAGCTGCTCCAAGATTCTGATTAGTTTTTGTTCCTAGAGAACCTTGCAAGAGGAAGTTCAGTGGGACAAACTATAGTCCCTACTGCTGCTGCACCATGAATGACACTAATAATCGCCCTCCTCCACCACCCATTCTAGACTACCACTGGCTAGTGCCTCTACTAAAGTGGGCAGCTTACCCGGTAGGGGAACCAGCCCTCACACCTGCGGGATCTAAGGAGGGTCCCCATGCCCTTCACGGGCCATGGCTGCTGCACTTGTCTATTTACCACTGACATTGGACAAGGAAGAACCAAGAGGTGTCCCAGGAATCATTTCGTGCCAAATGTATGTTTCTCGTTCCCCAGAAGTCCTGCTCCCTCCTAGAGATTAAGGTCAGTTCCCCTGCCAGGATGATGACATCTTTCCTCCTGCTGGTCGCTTAGCACGAGGAACCCCAAGCGATGGGGACTCTTGCTGGGCCCTTACGGGACATGTTCTCCCTTTGGGAACCAGGAGCTCTGGACCCCCAAACCCAGAGTTGCATGACCTGAATCACACATTCTCCACGTGGGTCACTGGCAGTCCTGCTGAGTGAATCTGTTCCCAGGCCCCTATGTTTTCTTTATTAGGGACACAGGATAGAGACAGATATAATGATCCCTTATAGTCTCCTAACTGCCCCTTTTCTTCCACCTTTGCCCCAGCAGGCTGCTGTCAACAGAGCAGCAGGAGTGAAGCTTTTGAAACGCAAATCATAGCATTCCTCTCTGCTCAAAAATCTGTAAGATTCCTATTTCACTCAGAATAGAAAGCCAAAGTCCTTACAATGGCCTTCGAGTCTGCATACAACCTCTCTCCCCCTTCATTGCCTTTCTGGCCGGGTCTCAGGACCCCACTGTCCCTCCCCCCAACCCCACCCCCAACTCCATGCTCTCCTCAAACCACGTGGTCCACACGGCTACCTGAAGGCCTTTGCACTAGCTGTTCCCCCTTCCGGAACACTGTTGTGTCAGTCCGAATAACCTAGGCTATGTGGCAACAGCAAACAACCCCAAACCTCAGGGTTAAAGCAACAAAGTTCACGGGTGGGCTGCCAGCTCTGGTCCCTGTCATTCCGGTCAAGGTGCAACTTGACGGGCCTCTCCTACCTGGGACTCGACTGGCTGAAGAGGAGGGAATGCGGCCATCACGTCTGGCTCATACAGCCCTTCACCCACCTCTGCCTACATTTCATTAACCAAAATGATTCCTATTCAAGGGATAGGAAAAGCAATCCTACCACGCGGCCAGAAAGAGGAGGTGGACAGGAACATCAGTGACAGTCCTAAGGACCTCTAAACTTTTCCCCAAGCAGGCTTCAGGTCTTGCTCTCTCACTTCCTTTATTTAAACCCTTTGCTCAAATGTCATGTTCTCAGTGAGACCTTTCCTGATTATTCTATGTAAAATTGCAACAATGCCTACCCACTAGTCCCTCCTCTTGCTGGATTGTTTTCCAAAGCATCCCCCACCCTTATCTCTCTCTATCCCCTCTCCCCCCCCAAACACACACATTTACATATTTCTTTTGATCAATTGCTGCCTCCCCCACGCGGATCCGAGCCCTGGGAGAGTAAGAGAATGGACTGTGATCACTGCTATTTCCTTAGCTCCCAGAGCACAGCTAACCAAAGGGTGAGCCCTCAATATGTGCTCAGAGAATCTTCAGGACCCCTGTAAATGCCTATGCTCGTTCACAGTAGGATTTTGAAAGAATAATTTATGGTTGTCATTTGTCTCCAAACTTCTTCTGAGCTAGTTTAACTGATGGGGATAGGGACAAAATAAAAATGAAATGGCAGTCCATTTTTACATCCCTTTGATATCTGAGGCTTTATGCGATCCTATCTCGGAGAGGATGTGCAGGAGAGTCATAATTCTAACAGGTAGAAAACATCATTTTTCAAAAATGTATTACAATGTTTGTCTTCATTACTTCTAATATGTAAACCAACATTTTTCTAACCTTCAAATTACTATCTAAAGTAATTTGTAAAGTTCTTTTTAATTAAATATGAATATTGTTAAAACGCGTTAAGGGAGACACACAGTAGCAAGTGATTCTCAAGACATTAAAATTTTATCAATCACACTCATAGCAGAGCATGCTACTTACCAAGCTAAATGATGGGCAATGATTCTGATAAATTGCTATGAGTTGGCGTTAGGTTACTGTCTCACATTTTCTTCTCTTCTATTTTCTCTGCATACTATAAAACTGAGAGGGAAAAAAAAAATCCCAAATGAAAAATATGAGATGTCAACATCCACATTATATAAAATACTTATTTTCTTTTCAAATGAATGCTTTATGATGATTATTAGAATATTACAAAAAATGAATATGATTTTATCTAAATACTATTGCAAATGACAAATGTTGTGAGTACTTTGGCCACATGAATCAAAGAGAGTTACTCAGGAATTCAGGTCTGATTACTAATTAGGTGGGTAACTGGAGATGAATTTCTAGGTCTTAGCGTTTCCATTTAAAAATTGTAATAATTTTAATGGCCAACCCTACGCAGGATCTCTTAGGAATCAATCATTCTAAAGGCCCTTACAATAATGTGACATTATCAAAAGTTTGGTTACCCTGTTTAGTCTCCCGTAAGGATAGCAACTAACCTAGCCCTGTTTGATGCTACACTGTGTCCCCGAAGCACCCACAAAGGACTTTAAAGGTGAGGCTTGGTGGTGTCTGACCAGCCTACCTGCTCTCAGGACACACCGATGAGTCTGTAGGTTTCTGCATCTGTAGCACAATCAACTGCATGGCTGAGAAACTGATTTCAAAACTATAAAGAAAAAAAATATTACCAATGTAATGTTGCCTTTGTTTTATCAGGATACGTTAAAGGGTGTAACCATCATTATAAAAGTATACCACCTATCTGAGAGAGATGATTTAAAAGTGTGATATTACGACCTCGATCAGTCATCTGCTATGAGCTTTGAATAAACAGCACAAATGTCCTTCAGAGACTGAAAAATAAATGAAAATCGTAGGAAATAAAAAGAAAATAAAGGACGACCTACAATTTTATAAAAGCATTTTGGGAGTATATCAGAAATATTTTGGTTATGCATGACATAGCCAAACTCAAGTGGGCTTAGAGCATAAAAAAAGAAGGCATGGGGAGACTTATTTGTTCATATAACTGGAAAGTTCCAAGGTCTGTAGGTTTCAGGTAAGGTTTGATCCAGCCGTTCAACAATAGTACCAAGGACTTGCCTTTTTCCATGTTCTTCCCCATGCCTGAGTGTCCTTGTAAGAGTCACTGGTAATTTAAAACTTTTTTTTCCAGCTTCCATTCTCCATTTCCAATTAGAGCTCAGTTTCCTTTTGGAGAATAATTTCTCCCCCACTGTGCTTAATCTTAGTGAGAAGGCAATTATTCCGGGCACCTGTCTCATCTCTACTGAAACTGACAGAGACAGATTTCACTCTCCCTGTGCCCTGCCCTTCCCCAGCCCTAGGGCCATGAGCAGACATATGACTTGAGATCAGTTAGGCAGATGCTCTCTCCTGGAACTCTGCATCTTGACAAAGTTGCACCGGATGGAAGGAACAGGGGCAAGGCCACCTGGAATTGTGTTAATAAGCAACATTTGCTGTGCTCCCCAGCCCTACAGCGTAACCTTTGCTCCTGCCCGCTGCCAAGCCATATCGAGTCAATTAGGGGAGCCCTGCGAGCACCCCCGTTTGCTCTGTTGCTCAGGTACTGCTGCTTGACACAGCAAGGAAGCCTTTCTGGGGGTGCCCATGCCAAGGAGAGCCTCCCACTCCGTGTCCCCATGGCACTGTGTGCCATACCTTTTGATATGCCCTTATCAATAAACCCTTACACGGATGGTTTCCCAATCTGTGTTTCCCCCTGGACCGAGAGCTCCCTGAGGACAGGGTCCGTGTGCTTAGCCCAGGGTCTGGTCAATATTAGACATTTAGAAAACTCTGTGTTGAATGAATGAATGAATCTCTACAGGGAGAGAAAGGACAGGCTTGCATTAAACAGTTCTGAAATTTAAGGGAGGATATAAATTATCAAGGACAAATAATAAGAGCTCTTAACAAAGTGTCAAACTGCCATAGGGAATATATTCAGGCTATTTTATGAGGAGTTGTTGCACATTCTTAGTGGATCTCTCTATCTGCCTGTCTGGACTAATCTCACTTCATCCTTGAAATTTAATCTGAAGGCTTCTCCAGGGCAGAGTGAGCCGAATCTGATGGGGGATAGACACACTCCGTTTTGCCGCTTGGAAAGGCCTCTGGCGTTTAGGTGTGTGCCTCTTCTTAAATGAAGTATTTAGATTCTCCCCAGAACCAAGAACTGGCCAATGACACCACATGTTTAGAAAGATGTGCTTGGTCGTGCGGGGTGCATAGCACCGCTGCTCCGGGGGCAGAGGGGTGACACAGGCTCCTGCCACTCTCTCATTGAGGCCTGAGCCCTGCGCACCTGCTTTGGGCACACGCAGGCTTGGCCTCCCTTAGGGGCACGGCTCCAACGCTGCACCTGCGCACGCCGAACCTCCCAGGGGCAGCGGGCAGTGCCCCAGGCCAGGGTGCCGGGCACAGAGGGGGGAGGGATCAGAGGGTGGGGCACGGAAACAGAACTGCCTTTCCTCTTCCTCTTCCCCTTCTCCTCCCAAGCGCCCAGGTAAAGCCTTGAGGAGCGGCGAGGAAGCAGGCAGATTGTACAGAGCAGGGCTCAGCGCTGGAGCGAGTGAGGCAAGGAGTGGCCCTCAGGGGCAAGGCTGGCAGAGGAGATCAGTGGCAAGTGAGGGGCAGGGTGGGGAGCACTGATCAAATAGCCAATCTAGTAGCAAAATGGAAGCCAGGTTTGTCACTGTCAGACAACGGAGTTAAAAATATGGGGAGGGTGAAAACTGGTATGAACCTTGCAGGTGGGATTGAAATTCACTGTATCAATCCAAACTCCTGGGTTTGCACATAGACAGTGTATTCGTTTCCTAGGGCTTCTAACATATGACCACAAACTGGGTGGCTTCAAACAGCGCAGATTGATTCTCTCACAGTTCTGAAGGCCAGATGTCTGAACTCAAGGTGTTGGCAAGGCAATGATCCCTCCTAAAGCTCTAGGGCAGGATCACTCCCTGCCTCTGCCAGCTTCTGGTGGCTCCAGAACCTTGTGTCCTCAGTTGGCCACCAGGATGGAAGGGCAAAGAGGCCGAGCTAGTTCCTTCCAGTCCTATTACAAGGGCGCTCACTAATCCACCCAGGAGGGCAGAGCCTTCATGACTTAATCACTTCCCAAAGGGCCCCACCTGTTAATATTACCACATCAGATCTTAGGTTCCGATATATACTTCTTGGAGGGACACCAACATTAAAACCACAGCAAGGTCTGAGGATTCAATGGTAATAACGTGTTTATGTTAATTTCCACATTTTGGTAATATATGATTCCTAGGTGAGAGAAAGTCCTGTTTATAGGAAATTCACACTAAGGTATTTGGGGGTAGTAGTTCATCAGATTGGTTCAGAGAAAAATACAGTCTCTGTACACTAACAAATTTTCTGTAAGTTTGCGATTGCATAAAAACACACATACGAATCAAGACTGACCTTAAGTCTAGTCGATGGTTAAGAGCAGGATATAATTTGAGAAGATGCACACTGCCCTCGGCCAGTTTCATGCATGTTTATCATTCCATTTCGTCCTCGCTAGAGTAATTTACATTATTCATACAGCACTTTCACATATGTTATCTTTAAACTATGAGTTCTGTAAAGGCAAGGATCATGTCTATTTTACTCACCAGCATTTACCCAATGCCCAGAACAGTCCCTGGGACCAAGTAGGCCCTCGATATATAGGCATTGATGGAATGAATGAATGGAGGCAGGTTGGATTATAAGCAGCAGCATGGCCTTTGGAGTTAGCACTGAGTGCCACTCCCATCTCTCTCCCTTCCTGTTTGTGTCCTCTAGACCACGTTCACCAACTTCTCAGCCTCGCTGAGACAAAAGCCAGAATGTCTAGGTTTGAATCCTGACCCTATTGCTTCCTAGTTGTGTGGTGTTGGGCAAGTTGCTTCAGTTTTCTCACCTAAAAAATGGGAATTATAATATTAATAGTTTGTATACTTCATAGGGCTGTGTGGCATAAGTGCTTATTAATGATCTGGGCTTGACTTCCCAGCTGTTTAAAGAGAATACTGCTTGAAAGGTGGTTGTGAGAATGAAAAGACCCTCAATAAATAATGTTTTATGATCACATTTGATACCAATGTGCTCTGTGATCTAAAAACAACATTATGAAGTAGGGAAAGCATCCCCATTTGCTCAATTGAGGAATAGGATACCCAAGTTCAACACCAGCAGGGAGTGTCCAACTCAGACACAAACTCTTCTTTTCAGACCCAAGGCTGTGGCTCTTTCCCCCATATCACTAGTTGCCTTACTGATCTTAAAAGGCCCCTGTTCCACTGAACATTCTTGGGAAAGATAGCATGATAAGCTTTATCCCCTTGATAAGAAACACCTTAAAGCAGTAGTTCTTAAACATAGGTGTGCAACAGAAGCACATGGAAGGTTTGTTAAAACACAAGGTATTGTCCCTACTTCCCAAGATTTCTGACTCAGAAGGTCCGGGTACGGCTGGAGAAATTTGAGAACCACCACCCTAGAGGGAAGTGGTTGAGAGCTGGCTTAGAAAGCAGGGAAACACTGTTGGCAGCAGATGGAGAGATCTGGGGAAAGCCAGAGGGCAGGAAGGGGCATTTAGGGGGGCCCAGCAGAGATGTAAGGGCTCCGCCAGACGAAGAAAAAGCACCAGCTCAGCCTTCAGCTCAATCTCTGCCTCTTGCAAATCACCTTCTCTGAGATGAAATGGACCAATTCCTCTAAAAACAGGAACTACTACAACTCACCCCATATGAAATAGATCATTTGAGTAGCCCTGTAACTATTTTAAAAATTTAATTCATAATTTTAAAACTTCCAGAAAATAAATCTCCAGGGCTCAGATAGTTTCACTGGAGAAATTCTTTCAACTGTCTAAAGAACACCAAATCTACACAATCTCTTCCCAATACATTTTATGAACCCTGACACCAAAACCAAAGATAGCTTTTAAAACAGAAAGGGAAAAAAAGAGAAAACTGCAGTCCAATAGTTCTCAAAAATGTAGACATAAAAATCCTTAACAAACTACTAGCAAATAGAAATCAGCAATATATAAAAAGAATGCTGTACCATCATGAATAAGGGGGTTCAGGGTTTGAAAACAGTCAATGTACTCCAGCCTACAGACAGGCAGACTGGGCGGCCATCGGGGGGCTCCACTGAGCAGCGGTGGAGGCGCTGGGATGAAGGTGAGCCAAGTAAATCTGGGGAAGTGAAAAAATTGGCCCCTAGACGCATGGCTTTCAGTTAAACAAAATAAAGCACTGCATGCCACACAAATTCTGCTAGGTTGTATACCTAATGCTTGTCAGAGAGTAGGGCCACTGGAAGTGCAGGGACAGACAGGAGAAAAGATGGCTTGAGGCTCCAAGTGCTACACAGGACAGTCCAAATAGAAGACCCACATTCCCCAAGGTCAGAGTGATCCCCACAGGGGCAGAGAAGAGCAGGAGTCCCTCCAGTCAAGAGGTTGGCAGCCAAAACCTAAGGAAACCCATTCTGGAATTGTTACTTGGGAGCTCTGTATTTAAACTGTGAACCACAGCCTTACAAGTTTGGATTTGAATTTGAAAACACTGACCTGGCACCCTTCATAACCTATACCAAAGGTGGAGCTAGATAGAGTCCAATAGCTAATCAAGTTGATCACTAGCAAACCCTCTGTCCAGGATTCGTGTCCTCCAGTGAAAAGGCTCCCACCTGCCTCTGCTGTTCACCCAGTGCAAGCTGACAGCGTCCTCCTGTCCTCTGAGCTGAAGCTCCACCCTGCAGCTCGCTCCTGCCCTGCCACCAGCTCGAGTCCTGGGAAGTTGTGCTCCCCGAAACAGCCCTTGGTCAGGGAGGGGTGCCAGTGTCTCTAGGAGGGGCAGTGGGGCTGTTCTTCTCAGACTTTGACATGCCTGTGAATCACGACCTCCGAGCCTGAGGCTCTGCATTTCTAACAAGCTCCCAAGCCATGCGGATGTGGCTGGTCTGGGGACCACACTTCGGCGCCCCAACCAGTGCTTTCTGTAGTTTCTTCCCAAATAAACTGCCTGCTTTCAAATTCTTGTCAGAAAGTCTGCTTCCGGGGGAAGCGTCTTCTCTCTCTCCCATCTCATGTCCCGTGCTCCTTGTTCTCAGTTTTCACAAACTCCAGCCACTACCTTGCAATGTGATGCAGGGCAAACACTTCATTTCCTTCCTCATCTCCAGAACAAGGGGGTTAGTCTGCCCAGTTTCCCTTCCCATTCTAACAATCTAAATATTTTCTCATTATTCTAGTGATTATGGAACTTTCCACACTCATCTCGACCAGCGTTCCTGCTCTCGTGCACGACCTTTTAAAATCAGGCTGACTCCACGTGCTGCTCATCTTCAAACGATGCTCATCTTCTCTAAACACAAATGAAAAATAGAGGCCTTTTCTTCAAACATAATAGCCAAAATCCTTGACACCAAGAGAAATGGAGATCAGCAAATGTTCATACGTGCAGATGACATTTTCATTGTGAAAGGGAGACAGACACCATTCAGAAAAACAGAAGAATAGTAGTTTCAGGCAGAGGCTATTAAAATGAAAATCAATGTGAAACTAACAAAAGATATAAAATCACCGTCAAAAGACATCTAAACAAGATAATAAAGATAAGAATACACAATAGTTTGTATACTATGTCTGGTTTTTGAGCAACTGTCTAGACATATATATACAAACACATGCTGTTCCCTTACAGATAATCATTTCGGAAGGCTACCCTCTTACACCTATGCTCAAACATTTTTGAAATTTCTAAAGTTGAAAAGAAATCAAATATACAAGCATACACACAATTCAATATTATTACTTGAGTCAGCACTTTTTACCCAAAATAATACAACACAACCTAAATGCAAATTTTATTGGTAATAATTTAATAAACTTCCTAAAATATTAATAAATAAAATCTACTTGTGTAATTGTCAGTTATCACTGCATAACAAATAATCCCCCAAATCACAGTGGCATACACCAATAAGTAGTTATGTCTCATTCAAGAATCTTCATGTCTGTTGGGTGTTCTGCTTCATGCCATGAGCCTGCATGTTGGCTGAGAAGCCTCTGCAATATGAGAATTCAGTCTGGTACCCAGAAGCTGGGAGGCAGCTACTCGGGTGTATAATTTTCTCATGGCAGAGGCCGGATGTTCCTGAGAACACGTGTTGTCTCTAAGGGTGAGACCTGGAACTGATACACTGCTCCCTCTCCACATTCCATTCCAAAGCAAGTCCCATGGCCAAACCCAAGGTCAATAAACGCCTCCCACAGAGTTAGCAGTAGATGGAGTGAATATTTGCTGAAAATCTTATCTCTCAATTTCTACTGATGAGATCTCTCAATTTCTATGATGATTTGTCAATACAGAAGATAGCAAAAAGAAGAGATTAAGAACTCTTTAGGCATACAAGAGTACCAAAGTGATGTGAGTAATAACATCATCATTGAAATAAGTTTATAGCCTTACAAGGGGACCATCTTGGATACACAAGTTTTAGTTTATTTGTTTTTAAAAGTTGTTTTTATGCTTTTTATAAAAGTCAAACTTCATGCTTGCTTAACTGCATCTGATTCTTATTTATAGATGGCCCTATTCACAGAGGGGCTATCTACAGGTACTCCTGAGAGATATCAAGTCAATGTTTCTTTATTTCTCCTCTTTCATAAAAAATATTTAAAAGAGAAGCAAAATTACCAGAATCTCTGTTCTGATATCTTCTGGCTGGGGCTTGGCGGGCCAGAGGTATAAGGGTGAAAAGGCACCACCCATTTGTTAGAGTGAGCTAGGTTGCTTGGTAAGCTATTCTGGGCAGCCAGGAGCCCTGGGCTCCAGCCAGGTGGTCCTGGTCCCTTAGCTGCTCCTATCCCCGCAGCTGGGCATGCTGAGACAGTCACTTCCCCAGGCTTCCAGTTCTCCACCCGTAAATGTGCTCCTGGCGCAGCCTGCCCTAACAGTGGCACGTCTGTGAATCTATTGTGTGCTGCAGGTTTTCTGGTGTCACTGTTTCCCTAATGAGGACTGCTTTATAAAGTCACTGACTGCAACTCTAGAAAGTGTAACAACAACTTTTACAAGCTAAAGGCTGGGTACAAAAACTCTCATTGAATGCTCTAGTTTTTGTTTTCCATAAAGAAAAGATTTTCTTGGGATTTGTGGGGACTGTTAGTAACAGGGTGACAGTTTCCAATCTTATATTTACTAGATAACAATCATAATGTTACCTTCTCTTATTGGGTGACTCTGATGGATCTACACACATCAACCTCTTCTTCTCCTTCTCCTTCTTCATCATTTTTGGTTTATTTGGCAGATCTTAACAAAATGATCTTTGGCGCCACTATAACATCGTATGAATCAGAAGGTGGATTTTGAACTAGGGCTTGAGTCAACAGCCAGGAAACAAACAAACAAAGCAAAAGTCAAATACTCTAAAATCAGTTTCTAAAGCTAACACTGTACATTCTCCAGAACGCATTTTGATCTCTTATCACTTCGCTCGCCTAAGTTCTTCAGAGGATGGGAAGTGCACCTGTGCACTGAGCAAACACCTGGATCCCCTCAGCCAGGTCTGTCCCAGGAGCTTCCCTACGTCTCACTTAATTGTCTCCAGGGTCCTCAGAGAGAAGTGCTGTGACCCCTCTTTACCGGGGAGAGACCCGGCTCTTCCCGACTGTCCACCCGCCTCGGGACAGTCCTGGGGCGCCCCATGCGGGCACTTAGCTCTGACCTCTCAAAACGCCTGGCGCCCAGAGGGACGGGGGTTCGCGGCCTGGGCGGGCAGGTGGCGGCGGCGACCTTTGGAGCGGGCGGGCCAGGTCCAGGTCCAGGTGGGCGGGCCGGGCAGGGCCGGGCGCCGCGGGCCTGGGGCTTCTTCGCACTGTCGCCCTGGCCATGGAGCGGCGGGCGCCCGGCGCGGTGCAGATGAGCCAGGCGGTGCAGCCGGCGCACGCCAACGCCCGCGGCGAGCTGAGCGCGGGGCAGCTGCTCAAGTGGATCGACATCACCGCCTGCCTGGCTGGTAGGGCGCGGGCCGGCCGGGCTGGGGACCCGGGCGCAGAGGCGTCTGACAGCTGCTCCGGGCGGGGCCGGGCGGGGACGTGGGGACGCGGGAGCCGGGGTCAGTGCAGGAGAGAGAAGGAAGGCGAGGACGAAGTTCAGAGAGTCGTGTCCCTGTGCGGCCAGGGACAGAGATGACGGAGATGCCTCGCCTGACACTGGGAGTGACCCAAACCGAGGGTTCTTAGGTTTTTTGGTCTCAGGTCCCCTTTATCCCATTAAATTAGCTAAGACCCCAGAGAACTTTTGTTTATGTGGGTTATTTATGTCCACATTTACCATATTTGAAAGTTAAAGTTTGTAATTCATTTAAAAGATTACATGTTAACATTTTTTTTTATTAAAAGTAACTGCATTGTCAACAATAACAAAAGTATACTTAGAGGAGTGGTACTAGTTCACGTATTTGCCAGTCTCCTTACTGTCTGGTTTAGGAGAAGGTTGCTCACGTCTCATACCTGCTTCTACATTCAATTTGTTGCTACCACACCCTATGTAGTCTCTGGAAAACTCCACTGTGTTCTTGTGAGAAAGCAAATGAAGAATAAAAATGGTAAAAACAAACAAACAAAAGATTTGCTATGGGCTGAATTGTGCCCTCCTGCAATTCATATGTTGACGCTCTAACCCCCAGTGTGGCCGAATTTGGCATGAGGAAGTAATTCAGGTTAAATGAAGTCGTAAGGGTAGAGTCCCCATAGGGTTAATGTCCCTATAAGAAGAGACAGCAGAGAGCATGATCTTGCTGCCATGTGGCCATGAGGCCACAGCAAGAAGGCAGCCTTCTGCAGGCCAGGAAGAGAGCCCTTACCAGGACCTAAACTGACAGGCACTTTGGTCTTGGACTTCCCAGCCTCTAGAACTGTGAGAAATACATCTCTGTCGTTTAAGCCACCCAGGCTATGGTATTTAGTTATGGCGGACCAAGCAGACGCAGGCAACATCTTAGCATTAATGTGAAAAAAGTTTTCACCGCAGCATCTCTCCCGCACTACTGAGCACCGGACTTGGACTTACATCTAGGGATGAGACTCCGCTTTAGAAAACAGCAGGTTAGGATGTAAATGATTTTCTAACTGAAAGGCTAGGCAGGGCCGTATCTTTGAGAAGTGGGTCCCCTATGCCCCTTGCCTACTTGTCCCATCTCTGGCAGCAGCAAACCCCGCCATCCCTCACTTCTGCAAAACTGCTTTTGGCTTCCCTTTCTCTATCCTGCCTCCCTGGGATCTGTTCTTTGCACAGAGGCCACAGCGAACTTTAAGTACATAAAACACACCACACCACTTCCCAGCTTAGAGCCTCTAAGTGGCTTCCCATCATACTTTAAATAAAATCCAAACCCTTTACCCTTCCTTATAGATGCTATTTAGAGTTGGAAACTCACATTCTCTGAGGGGTTAGCCAGGTAACCATAAAATGTGAGATGAGTCCAAGCCCAGCTTAGAACATCAGGGGGTAGTGGTTACCTGGAAAGCTGTAGGGTGCCCCACATTAACAAAAAGGATAACATCATGCTGCTCAGGCAACATTATGCCATGGACCAGGCAACAGGCATGGTTCCTGTCTCCCCCATGCTGTGTTTGGTCCCACTCCCTTCCTGGTTCACATGCTCCAGCCTTCTGATACGTCCCAGAACATGCCCATCTCTCCTCTGCTCAGGACCCTTGCACCTGCTCCTCTTTTTGCTTTTACACTCTTCCCTGAGCCCTCGGCATGCATGACATCTCATCTTAAATGCCATTTGCTCAGAAAAGTCTTTCCTGACCACCTGTTTACATTTGCACACTTTCACCACTTTCCTTGCAATGCTCTTTCCAACTTCCTTCATACCACTTAGTACAGTCTGTAATTATTTTGTATTTGGTATGTTAATCTGTTCATTTCTTTATTTTCTGCCTGGCCAATTAGTATGTAAGCTAAAGCTAGTTTTCCAGAGCCTAGTAAGTGCTGAATAAAAAGCTCCTGATTATATGAATGGGTGGGTGGGTGGATGGTTGGATGGGTCCAGAATTTGGAATCTCACTTCCCAAAGGAAGCCAGACTTTGCATAAGACACTTCATCAACTTGGCAAGTGTACATTTGAAAGTAAAAATATTATGATAAAATATTAGATCTTGAAGGGGCTTTAAAGATCATGTATCCCAGGACCCCTGTTTTACAGATGGCAGATGTAAAGCTCAGCCTTAGATTATTATGGAAGCCTGCTCTTCTCAACGAGTGTTAATAGAGTTTCTAATCCCCTGTGTCTTCACCACCTGCAATATTGTAATTATAGTAATTATTATTCAGTTATATATTTGAAGCCAATCCATTTATTTGTTTTCTGTTGATAGATCTATTTGGTTTGTGTCTTAGTTTTTTTAACAGGATTTGACATTGGTTATACTAACATAATAATGGAAACATGAATATAAAATTAATACACATGTAGGAAAAAGAAACGAGGATAGAAACCACTGATGTTGCTAATAATAATGATGCCTATTTCCAAGGCAACTGAATGCATTATGAGACTATTGAAGTGATTTTTAAAGTTACCTTGCTGAGTGTCTCTAGTCTGTGATGGAGAAACGTTGCCCTCCTGCAGTTGTCATAAAAATTTCTGTGGTTTGACATCTTTGGAAACTCAGGTAGACCATAGAGAGATACAATTGACCATCAACTACTCTGTACCTTAATGGTTATATTACCATAATATAATAATTAATTAGTAATGTTAATATTACTAATAATAAAGAAGTCTTTATGGTAAAGTTGGTTTGGGACACATAGATGGTGCCTGTGGTAAACACCCAAAGGTGAAAAGAGCCACCACATCAGCAAAGGACATTATTTAGCCAAGGTGTGACTGAATCTGTGGAATAACACAAAAACTAGTTTTTCTGGCATTTTCTCAGAGCTTTTGTAGACCAGCACTTCTGTGTAGCCACATTGCCGTGACAAATAATGACCCCAGCCATGGCCCAAAGGCATTGCTGTGATCCTCAGGCACTGCTAGATTCCAAAATGTCTTCTCAGTATTTACATAAAGATTAAATATTCTCACCATCATTTTGGCATTTAACCTCATTCCTGTCAGTGGCCCCATCGTGTTTTCAGTCTCTTAAGCCTAAAGGCTTGAAGCCATGTGAGTCATTCTCTACTCCACATGTCCATTTCTTTTTTTGAAACACCCCCACTGAACATTTTCCTCTCTATTTTATTTGTGAATCTTTTCAAGGGTATACTCTCTCAGGATTGACACCTGCCTCATCCAGTCATACAAGCCAAAAAGTCTAGGAGTCATTCCAACACCTTTCTCTACCTTGCTTCCCCTCCACATGCTCAATCCATGACCACATCCTACCCAGTTTATCTCCTAAAGGAACCTCTCCAATCCAACCACTTTGCTTTGCCCCCAGTGCCGCCATCCATGCCTCCAAACTGCCATCATCTTTTATGTGGGCTTCAGCAGTGGTTTCCAAACTGGTCTTCTCCATTTATTCTGGTCTCTTCTCTGCAAGGCATCTAAAGTACCTTTTTAAGGTGCTAATCTGATCATGGCACGTGTTTTGTTCATTTTTTCCCATTGTTTTCTTTATCGGGGGCTATAAGGGCTCATGATTGCACATTCAAGAATCTCCTATTAGAAAAAAAAATCTGCCACAGAAAACAACCATAAACTTTGGACAAAACATTTTAAAAAGCAACTTAAAGAAACTGAAAAGTGAACAAAAGTAGACTCAGAACACTTGGAATCAACACTTGAAAGAAGAGAATGGTACTGGCTGACTTTTTCTATCTTTTTTTTTTTTTTTAAATGACTTAAGCCTGAAGGAAAAGTCCAATCTATTCCCATCTATATTTGTAATAGAAAACCCACAGGCTTGCTGGTTTGAAAAGCCAAAGGACAGGGTTTGGAGGAAAACAGAGCTACTGTAATGTGAATAGGAAAATTTCAGAAAGGAAAGAGCCAGAGAGGCAAAGCCATAAAAGCTATCTAGAATCTTTGCCCAGATCTCTGGCAAACCTTGAATCATGTACACATAGGACAGACTCCAAACCCCCTAGCTAAGGCCAAAAGAACTTAAAAGAGCTGAACCCACCTCTAGGGAGACAGAGTTTTATAGTTTGCATTTAATCAAGTTAACAGCCTGCTTAAAAAACAAATACAAAACCAAAAACAAACAAACAAACAAAAAAACCAATACTCTTCAGAGGAACATGGTTTTTACAATGGATCACTTATAATGGCTAAGATACAATTCCAAATTACTTGACATACAAAGAAACAGGGGAACATGATCCACTCTTAAGAGAAAAGATAATCAATGCAGGACAATCCCTAGACCAGGGGTCCTCAAACTTTTTAAACAGGGGGCCAGTTCACTGTCCTTCAGACTGTTGGAGGGCCATTGGAGAGTGTGGCCCACATTCCACACATGCCTACTGTGGGCCCGAGATGAGTTGGCTGCTAAGCAGGACAGGCAGCAGCAGCAAAAACACCCAGTGGGCCAGATAAAT